AATGCGTTAAATCAATGTAGCCAAATGTTTTTTTTTTCTTCTAAACATCCTACCACTGGATTATTACTAAACTTGTTTTTTTTTCTTCTCAAAACATGCAATCTGTTTCAATCCACTTTGGTCAGAGTTGTGTTTCTGTTGCTCTCTTGCTCATAACTTGATTTCTAAAAGACACTGTGAAATAACTGGACAAAGAACAAAAGAACGAAAAGAAACACTTTTCACAGGAAATGAGGATGCAGGTGTTTTTTTTGTTTTTTTTTCTCGTGTACCTCCTCGGAGTCGTTTCCCCTTCTGCTTCTCCTGCACCTTCCTTTTGAAATGCTTATAGGCTTCTGTCTGCTGATACTTCTCCAGCTCCCTCATGTAACGCTCCTTATCTTTCTCCGCCTCATCCAAATAGCGCTAGAGAGAGAGAGAGAGAGAGAGAGAGAGAGAGAAAAATCGCTTTCTCAGTTCAAAACATTTTTAAAGGGTATACGCTGTTTGTGACATACAAGAGTCCACTTGCAGTAATTTTCATGGATCGTAGAGCAGAATTATAGGACCGAGTGTGTGTTTAAAATGGAGTGAAAGTGTGCTACATGAGGAACTTGGTGTAATCACAAGTAGAACGACACTTTAAAATGCGGCTTTCTGCAAATCAGGGTTCATTTCCAAGTGCTGTTCCTGACCTGTTTCTCCTCAGGAGGCAGCTTGCTCCACTCGTTGCCGAGCATCCTGGTGATCTCTGGGAAGGGTACGTCCGGTCTCTCGGCCCTCAGCTGCTCCCGCCGATCGTTCATAAACCGCACGTATCCTGTTAACGGGGCTTTGGGCGCGTTGCTGTCCTTCATTGGCTTCTTCCTCTTCCTCCCTTTAGTCCAGCTGGTCCTGCGTGGCTTCTAAAGGTCAAGAGAGACAGGGCCAAATTTCAACTTTAAATCATTTCTCCTGTGGAACTGAATAACAGCCATGTGCTGGGAATTGGTTCGATTCCTCTTATCCACCAGGGGGTGCTGAGAATCACCCGGATATCCTCGCTGTAACTCGGGTTCTGTGAACACCAGACAGGTTCCCCGTCACTCACAACCAGTGAGAAGGTTGCAGGGAATCCTGTGGTGACTGACTGACTGTCAATCTGTGCTTTATTTAGCGTGTGAAAAATACACACAATGTAATTATATTTGAGGCTTATAATGTACTGTGAAAATGCTGATTTTTTGCTGATAACCTAGTGATAATCATCATTTCTTGATAATGTACTTAATATAATGTAATATTCAATCTACATAACTGTATTATGATTTTGTACTTTTTTTTTTTTTTTAACCTGTAACACACTGTAGTTTGCCTCGTCTTTGAGAAATTGGCCATGACACCTTTTTGCAGCGGCCATTTATTTACTTTTTAAATGTAATAATGTTTTTTTTCTATATGACATTATCATAATAATATTGCAAACTGTATTTTTTTGTGCCGTCAGAACACGTCTAATGAACACAGCCGTATTCCAGAGACGGCACTTTGTTTCGTCATTATAGGGGATTATAAAGGCCTGCCATTACAATACATCACTCACAGGCACTTTCCACTTGTTCAATCAAAATCAGCTAGTGTGTTACCTCGTCTCCATTCCTTTGGCTGCCGTTATCAGTGTTCGCCCCAGGTGAAGCGCTCTGCTCTTCCATGACCTCTGACCTCTCCCAGGATTGAGCTGAAAAACAAAACAAAACATGATGACACACACCATACTATACATTAGTGCATATTATGTCACACATATCCTCCATTATATCATACAATAATGTATACTGACTCTTAGCTGTATCTAGCACACCACATTTGGAATATCCACTAAATGGCCAAATGTTTGTGGACATCTGACCATCACACACATATAAAACTGTAGCACACAGCTGTACAGAGTGTCTCTGAATGCTTTAAAAGTAATATTTCCCTTCATTGGAGCTAAAGAGGCTCAAAACTGTTCCAGCATGACAATGCCCCTGTGCACAAAGTGAGCTCCAGGAAGACATGGTGTGTGAAGGTTGGAGTGGAAGAACTCGAGTGTCCTCCAAGAAGCACATAGGGGTGTGATAGTCAGGTGTCCAGATACTACTGGCCATAAATCCATCCATCCATCCATCCATTCAAGAAAGCACAAGGCAACACAGAGCAACTTATAGCCAAGGTAAAAGTTCATACTGACCTGTAATTTGATCTAAACTGAATAATTCAGTATAGATTCTGTACAAGGCAAATTGCACCAACCAAAACAATACAAATAACCAGACGCTTTACATCATCATATCGCGACAGGCATATGCAAAACGAGTGGTGTTCCGGTCCGGTGGGAATCATTCACTTTGTGAAAGAAATGTGATGCAATTTATATTTAAAGAAATGATGTTTTATATCGTATTGTATAAGGCAGCTCATATGTACTTATCCTACACAGGGTTGCTGGGAGCCTGGAGCCTATCCCAGGGGACTCGGGGCACAAGGCAGGGGACACCCTGGACGGGGTGCCAAACTATCGCAGGGCACGACTGGCCATATAGTGTAGCTTTAAATGAAGAAGTTTGGTGAAGGGGTGGAGTGGGGGGATCTTGAATGGCATAAACCTCCACTACGCATGAGCAAAATTAGGATTATAGAAGTAAACGTTGGACACCAGCCATGTCTTGACCGATGAATATACAGCGTGTATGAGGGTTTGAGCCTGATGAGTTAAAACATTATACTCTGTAACTTGGCAAATATGATGCAATGAGGTAGTGTAGAAAGATTTCAAGGCAATAATAATAAAAAAAGAGTGCAATAAACACACTGGTACAACTAACTAACTTCTGTCATGCAGTTTTTGAGGAAAATCATTTTCAACCACTTATTTAGAATAAAGCTAAAGACTAGATATATCTAGGGAATCTCATGCTTTCACCAAAATGATTACCATGAACAAGTGTACAAGGTGAAATGTTTACAGAAGTGTTTCAGTGCTGTAATCATTTACAGTTTAAAGTTCCAGGACACAACACTGACATTAACTTTAACATTAACATTAACATTACAACACAAAGCACAGCAAATCCCTTCCCAGTGGTGTCCCAAACGCCCCCATCTTACCTATATAAGCAAACTATAAACAAGTACCGTCTGCACCCTATATAGTGCACTAGACACTAATAATGAGCCAGTTGGGATTGAACCAGTGAACTTAGCGTGTCGTGTTAGCCAAAAACCTACCCAAATCACACAACCTTGTCGGTAAAATATTATTATTTTGGTGTTTAAGAAAACACAAAACAACACAGAACAACTTCGAGTCAAGGTAAAAGTTCATACTGACCTGTAATTTGATCTAAACCGAATGATTCAGGATAGATTCTGTACAAGGCAAATTGCAGTAACCAAAACAATACAAATACCCAGACGCTTTACATCATCATATCGCGACAGGCATATGCAAAACGAGTGGTGTTCCGGTCCGGTGAGATTCATTCATGTTGTGAAAGAAACGTGTTGCAGTTTATATTTTTAAAAAGTAATGATGTTTTATATGGTATTGTATAATGTAGCTCGTGTGTACTGAAGTTAAAAAGATGTAAACATTCTTCAGTAGTGGTAACTAGTTTACCTGGCGGAGGGATTGCTAGAGAGTGCGCGATCCGGTCACTTCTTCTCGGCCACACTGAGTGTACTGAGGGAACAAGCTCAGGCTCTTTAGCGCCCTCATGCGGCAGCAACGCTTCCCTGTTTTGAGCTGAAGTTCAATGATTTGCTTGCAATGTGTTAGAAATATCCTACTTGTACACTGTATCATATATTACATCAGTATAACTGTTTACTACTAATATTACTAATCATTATTAGTATTAGTATTATTAATATTAGTATTAGTATTATTACTAATACTAATATTCCACGCAATACTATGCAGTATAGCGTATACAGTATGTGATAACACTAACCTACATGTGGCCACAGAACTTATGCACAGAATTAATCCCTCAGAATTGCACAATTAAACTTTTTTTTTCTGATTTTTTCCCCCTGATATTTTCACAGTGACTCTGACTCAAAATAGCAAAAATGATGCATGACGAATATGATGGGGAAAGACTTTAAAGCAACAAAAAAAGGAACAGAATTGCAAAAATACAGAAATGGCATGACTAGCACTACATTTCTCCTGAATTAAGCCGCCGCTTTGAGGAAAAGCTATTAGGATACACACAGCCTTCAAGTCAAGTCAAGTGACTTTTATTGTCATTTCAAACGTATACAGCTGGTACATTACACAGTGAAACGAAACAACGTTCCTCCAGGACCATGGTGCTACATTAAACAACACAAAACTACCTGAGACTTTGCAGAACTAGTTAAAGACTACACAGACCTACACAGGACATGTGCAAATGTACCCTCTGTACTCTTTACATTTTTAATAGCCTTGTAAGTCTTTGAATAATTTTCATCTGCCAATTTAGAGCTATAGGATTAAGCTATCTAGGGACTTTTAATTTTGTCGGTTCAGTATTTAGTTATCTAGCACTAACTGAATGCTCTATAACCTCATGCTTTTTCCAAATTGATTTGTTCAGCAGAATAGAAACAATATGCCTTTTTTTTTTACACTTATGATCTCATTCATTATTGAATGATTATTAGTCACAAGAATGTTATTGAAGTTTATCGCACATTATCAGTATGCAGCATGTATACTATGTGTCAGTGTGTATCATTGAATTCACATGATCAAATGCACATTGTTTTATATATATATATATATATATATGTATATATACACATATATATATATGTGTGGAAGTCAGTGTTGTTCCTCTTTCGGTTGCTCCCATTAGGGGTCGCTACAGCGGATCATTGGTCCACATATTTGATTTGGCACAGTTTTTATGCCAGATGCCCTTCCTGACGCAACCCTTCCTAATTTTATCCGGGCTTGGGATCGGCACAGAAAGCGCACTGTTGCATGCAACCCTAGTGGCTGGGATTGGTTCCCTGCCCAGGAATCGAACGTGGGCTGCAGCAGTGAGAGCACTGTAACCTAACCACTAGTCCTCCGTGGACCCTAATGGAAGCCAGTGTAGTTTGGATAAAATAGGAGTGATATGGTGAAATTTTCTAGATCTAGTAAGGGCTGCCGCGTTCTGGATTAACTGGAGCTTGTTTATTCACCTACTCGAACATCCAGACAGCAAGGCGTTACCAATAGTCCAACCTAGATAGTTAGTAATGAGTTTTTCTGCATTATGTAATAATATTTCTGAGCTTATTAGATGAAAGAAGGCTGCAGGTGATGCAGCTTCATATGTATGTAATCATACATATGTGTCTTCATGGAATTATTCTGTCCAAAAATCCAAAACCCAGACAGACAGAGAGTCAAACAGGGAAACAGACAGGAAGATAGACAGACAGACAAACAGACAGACAGATAGACAGACAGGCAGACAGACAGAGAGACAGCTAGACAGACAGGACTTTAACTGAGGCAGATGTGACTTTTGAAAAACAACCTGGGCATCCTTAAGTCTCATTATGCCTGCATGTCTTCATAGGTGTATGTTTGTGCACATGTGTGTACACTATATGGCCAAAAGTATGTGGACACCTGACCATCACCCATATGTGCTTATTAAACATCTCATTCCAGATTTATTCCCCCTGTGTTTGCTGTTATAATAAGCTCCACTCTTCTGCGAAGGCTTTCCACTAGATGTTGGAGCGTGGCTGTGGGGATTTGTGTTCATTCAGCTACAAGAGCATTAGTGAGATCAGGCACTGATGTTGGGATGTCGAGGAGGTCTGGGGTGCAGTCAGTGTTCCAGTTCATCCCAAAGGTGTTCAGTGGGGTTGAGGTCAGGGGTCTGTGCAGGACACTCGAGTTCTTCCACTCCAACCTTCACACACCATGTCTTCATGGAGCTTGCTTTGTGCACAGGGGCATTGTCATGCTGGAACAGCTTTAGGCCCTTTGAAGTGAAGGGAAATCTCAATGCTACAGCATACAAAGCCATTCTAGACAATTGTATGTTTGTGGCAACAGTTTGGGTGTGATGGTCAGGTGTCCACATACTTTTGGCCATATAGTGTACACTCATGCCAGGGAAAGATGTGTATATGTATGCGAGGAGCCTCAAGTTTACTTGCAGAGCATTCCAGCATAATTACTTTCTTCCTTCATTATGAAAGAGATGAGAGAAAAGAGCCAAGGGGTGGGAGCGGAAGATGGAGGTGGATTGAGCACTTTAATTAATTCATGTGGTCTGAGGGAACACTTTTATGATATCCCCAGAAACAATATCTCAGGCTCTTAGAGAGCAGCAGAGCTTCCAATCTTTAGCATCCAATAAATGATAATACATTTCTCACCACATACAGTATTCTTTAAGTATATGGAATTTAATTTTTTTCTATTATAATTTCCTTTAAACACTTTGTAAATGGAGGACATGATTTTTATGTATTACAGATTCTTACATTTGCTAATGAGCATTATTTGCTACTACTGTAAGTTCACTTTTACACTCTTCAAACCTCTCGTTTTATATCTAAAATTCACTACCACTACCAAAACACCAGAAACATGTCTCAAAATTGTTCTGCATTGCAAATTCATCTTTTGTTGGTAGTATACCAAAAAATGTATACCAATAGTATAGTATACCATAGTATATAAATGTATACCAATGGTATACTAATTTCAATTCGAACAACCATAAAAATCAATTACAAATAAAAAGAAAGGAAAATTCTAATAGTGTAATAGAAAAAATCATGTAGTTTACTATAAAATATACAACATCTTACAGGTGCAGTGAAAAGCTTCCATTAGCCACTGGGAAAAATTCTTTGTATCCTAGATCATCCATCTTAATAATCAAGTCAGGAATCCACAAGATCATGTGAATTTTCTTCTCTAGTGAATAAGTTGGGAGTTAAAGAGCCCCATTGTTGATGATCTGCATTCTTTGGCCTGTTGCCTTCATTGTTTTGTTACCTCAATTTTTAACCATCCCAAAAATGAAATTCGATTCTCTATATTGTACGGCAAGATTCAGGATCCACATTGCAGGATCTTTTGAATGACATTGTTGCACATACAGTGATTCTGGCCCAGAACATTTACTGTTGGCTGTTTCTCTTTGAAATGGTTATGGGTTTTTTTTTGTTACCTAGCAAACTGTTTTCTGTTTATTTGGTTTTGAAGGCTTATTAGGTTTAAACAATATATGTAGACATTGAAAACTGGCAGGTAGAAATACAGGGGAATTAAACATAGTTAACATCCATCCATCCAGCTTCCATATCACTTATCCTACACAGGGTTGCAGGGAGCCTGGAGCCTATCCCAGGGAACTCGGGGCACAAGGCAAGGGACACCCTGGCTGGGGTGCCAAAATGTTGCAGGGCACAATCACACACACCACAGACAATTTGGAAATGCCAATCAGCCCACAACACATGACAGGAAACCAACACAGGACTGGGGAGGAAACCACCAAAGCACCAGGAGAACATGCAAAATCCACACACACAGGGTGGAGGGGGAGTTGAACCCCCAACCCCAGAGGTGCAAGGCAACAGTGCTAACCACTAACCCACCATGCACATAGTTAACCTAATTAAACAAGTTAAACATAGTGACACAACAAGAAACAACAAGTGTGTTAGAAAGGTTTTGGGCCACTATGAGCTGCCAGAACAGCTTCAGTGTTCCTTGGTATTGAGTTAAGAAGTTTCTGGAACTGTACTGGAGGATGAACACCATTCTTCCAAAAGATACTCTCTCAGTTGATGTTGATGGTGTTTTTTCAGTTCTGTTGAGATTTGGTAACTGTGAGGGCCATAATATAGTATATCATTTACATCATTTTCATGCTTATCAAACCATTCAGTGGGTCCTTGTGCCATGTGGATGTGGAAAATATCATCCTGGAAGAGACTATCAAGATCAAAATGTTTCATCGTAGGATAAATGTGATCAGTCATAATAATTTTGCATTAAATTGCAGTGACTGTCAGAAACCAGCAATTGCTTCCCACAGCATAACAAAGCAGTTTTCACTTGAACTTGTTACCTGTCTTTTTCTGAGGTTATTAAAAAAATCAAGCATTACCAATAAAATAAAGAAAAAGCATGCCATTCATGTTTTGAGGTTTTTTAAAATCTCTATAATCTGTTGTTCAGGTTCTGTTTTAGTATGCAAAAATGCTGAGCATGCTAGAAAGCAGTGTTTATAAATCTGAAAGTCCTTGATGTTTTAATGGTGTGGCTCATTGGGTAAGGTTCTGATCCAGTGATCATACATTTATGAGTTTAAATCCCAGGGCTTCCAGAGAACCCCTTAGGCAACTGCAAGGAGGGCGGAATGCAGAAGCTTTAAAAAAAGTTCTATCACCAGCATTTCTTAGGTCACAGCAAATTGCTTCCAAAGGTAAAATAAAAAGTTTAACTTTTCAGAAAAGTGCCAAGTGACATCAAGTGCTTTTTAATCTCCCAACCAATCAGGTTGCAGCTCAGAGGGAAAGCAAGAACAAAAATAGTTGACGCACTAAGCTTAAACTTGCATGCACAGATGGTTGCGCATGTGCTACGTACACTATATGGCCAAAAGTATGCGGACACCTGACTGACCATCACACTCATATGTGGTTCTTCCCCAAACTGTTGCCATAAAGTTGGAAGCACACAATTGTATAGAATGTCTTTGTATGCTGTAGCTTTACAATTTCCCTTCACTGGAACTGAGAGGTTTAATCCTGTTCCAGCATGACAATGCCCCTGTGCACAAAGCGAGCTCCATGAAGACATGGTGTGTGAAGGTTGGAGTGGAAGAACTCGAGTGGCCTGCACAGAGCCCTGACCTCAACCCCACTGAACACCTTTGTGATGAACTGGAACACCGACTGTACCCCAGACCTCCTCACCAACATCAGCGCCTGACCTCACTAATGCTCTTGTAGCTGAATGATCACAAATCCCCACAGCCACGCTCCAAAATCTAGTGGAAAGCCTTCCCAGAAGAGTGGAGCTTATTATAACAGCAAACACAGGGGGAATAAATCTGGAATGAGACGTTCAACAAGCACATATGAGTGTGATGGTCAGGTGTGCACAAACTTTTGATCATATAGTGTAGCATAAACTGCTGAAATACAGTAATCAGTAACAAACCATGCCATGTTATATTATATTATATTATATTATATTATATTATATTACAGTGGATATAAAAGGTCTACACACCCGTGGTAAAATAGTGAGTTTTTGTGATGAAAAAAATTAAACAAAGATAAATCATGTCAAAACCTTTCCCACCCTGAATGTGAAATTATAACATATAAAAATTAAGTGAAAAACAATCAGACATGTTTTAGGGAAAAATAGGAAAAATAAAAAAGTTACAATAACCTGGTTGCATAAGTGTGCACACCCTTTTATAATTGGGGATGTGGCTGTGTTCAGAATGAACAAATCACATTCAATCTTATGTTCAAAGTAATTATCATACAGCTGTCATCAATGATATTATTCTGATTAACCCCAAATAAAGACCAGCTGTTTCTGTAGGATTTTCTTCACATCTTCTTGGTTTCATCTGACTCCTTAAGCCATGTTCTGCAAAGAGCTGACAAAGCGTGTACAGGGTATCACTGTCAAAAGGAATTGATCAGGAGGGGGATACAAAAAATTTGCATGGTACATTGTGTAGGCCATCATCAACGAGTGGAGAACATGGAGCACCACGGTGATATTACCAAGAACAGGACGTAGCTCGAAAATTTACAAAGGGACAAGACAAAAACTTACCAGGGAGGCTACCAAGAGACCTACGGCAACATTAAAAGAGCTGCAGGAATATCTGAGAAGTACTGATTACTCTCTGCATGTGACAACAATCGCTCGTATTCTTCACATGTCTGGGCTATGGGGTAGAGTGGCTAGACAGAAGCCCTTTCTCACAAAAAAACATCCAAGCATCCAACATCCAAGCAACTAAATCACCCCAAACCATCTGGCAATATGTGTTATGGTCTGATGAGATCAATTCCAAAAGGTATA